GTGGGCGCGGGGGGGGGGGCGGTGGCGGCCGCCGCCTTCAGACCCCGCGGCTTTCCTCCGAGCGGGTTCTCCCACTTCTTGGGTGCCGGGGGCTGCCAGGGTGAGCCCCGTACCCCTGGCCGGGTTTGGGGTGGTTACAGATGGCGGGGGTGTCATGGTGCCCGTTCCTTGTGGGGGGCGCGGCGTGGGGGCGGGAAGCCGTGTGGCCTCCCAGGGGGCTCAGCCTCGCCACACAGGGGCTGGAGTTACCTGCAACGGGCTCAGTAGCCCTGCTTTGGACTACAGCCAGCCCATGTGCACGGGAGGGTTCCTTGAAGGTCCCCCAAGTGTGTGAAGTAGCCAGAACAGTAGATGTTCAGGGGATTATGAAAGTGGATCATTGGTCTTCTTTGGGGCGTTTAATGTGCTGAGCAGAAACAGGAGCCTGTAAAGCACTTGTAATACTTCTAGTTTCCTTTGTGTTCGCAGTAGAGGTGCACTGCTTGGCACCCATGTCCACACCCCTGGCTTGGAACAATAAGGAGCTGCACCAAATGGATTCATCAAACGCAAATGTCTTTCCCAAGCCATCACCTACCAAGACAGGGAAGGGGGATCCCAATCTAGCAAATTACTTTACCTTTGACACTGACCTGTTACCTTCTCTGCTCAAAAATCGTTTGCATTCAGGACCTGTCCCAAATGGTGCTGCTGCTGCAGTCCCTAGAAAATTTGCAAATTGTAACGCACAGTGCAAATTGTGGCCTCCCAAGTGCCAGCATATGAAAGAAAAATAATTAGTAGATACTGATACACTGCAAGCAGGAGGCTGACAGTGGCTTATGTAAACACACTCGGGATTAAACTCAGCAGCGCTTGTGTTTCTGGCTATATGGCATAGCACCTACACAAAGAGTTTGGTGCTGGTTGCAAAGCCAGCCCAGAGCTCGGGTGGAGTGCATGAGGGAGAATAGGCTCTGCACCGCAACATCTACCCTGTCATTGCCACTGAGCCTCTCATCTTGAGACTGTGCCTCAGTTAGCAGGTAGTAGACACGACAGTTGGTGCTGAAAAGTTGATACCTGCGCTGTGTGCTTTTCAGGTGGTCTGTCCAGCTGACCAAATGCCCACTAGCAGTTGAAGAGTGCTGGGCGTGCTCCTGGAACACATCTTCTGGTTTAGTTTCATCTGACAGGAATCTAGTTTGTGCATGTCAAGACCTCTCTGCATTGAGAACCAAAGCACAGTAAGTCAGGGGTGTTGGAAAGATCCACTTCAAAAGCGCACTCCTGATCCAAACTGAAACGTACCATAGGCGTACCCTAATGCACACCTTTGACTATAGATTGGTCATAGACTTTTTCACAGGGGGTGTCACTTTTCTCCTGTTTTCCATTCTGCCCCACAGGCTGCCTACACTAGTGCATCTGAGTACAATGAGATTTCTCATCAGGCGACTGTAGTAAAAGTTCATTTCCCAGCCACAGCAGAGAGTGTTGGTTACTGATTCCACATTACATAGTACATGAGCAGAAACACTGAAAGATCATCTTGCTTAATTAATGACTGACACAAACAGATCCCCTTTCCTCAAGAGGTGTAAAATACCTGTGATTGTAGCTCCTCAGTCAAAGAACCACCTGGACTTAACTTTGGCACCTGACTTATGTACTGGCATTTTGTAAAATTGAGGGCTTTGCCAAAGTCCTGCCCTTGAGGAGTCACTGTCAGCACCGAGGGCTATGGAGCTTCAGGGCGTGGTTCAAGATGTTTCCCTAGTTTCCATGTAGCTAATTAGATCTGTTTATCTTGTGCTGAAACAAAACTAGTTCATGTGTGTAGAGGTGGTTAAAGTACTTCTTTGATCCCATTGTTAGTGGTTGCTATATTTCACACTCACATCTTTCTTTAAATATCAAAGCAGGCCCAAAACTTTACTGTCTCCTTTGTGAGATTCTTCAATATGTCAGTGCACTTTCAGCGAATATGTGACTATGAGAGTTTACTCAGAGTAAACTGAGTATGTGTTTATTTTCTCTGCCGGTTTGATAAGGTACTGAGAATTTAAAATTATGATTCAGCTGCCTTCCTTGCATTGCGTCACCACATAATAATGGTGTTTGACTAGCTCTGGAGTTAAGATTTACTGCAGAAATATAACAAACTCCAAAGATACATTGATTTGTTGCAGTAGTTGGGTATAAACTTTATTATTGTACAAATATGTTAGAAAACAGTTAGAGATTTTAACTAAATACTCACAGAAACGTTTTGCAGCCCATGTATCTACATAATCACATAAATCACAATAGTTAAAATCCAGAAGGTGAAAACTTAGCATTTCCATCTCTCTTTATCACTACAATCTACCTTTATTACAGCTACCTATTCAGTATCTGTCGGTTCTGAAGTTGTAGTCATTACGCTTATGCTAACCGAGAAATTTTACAGACTGTGGGATGGAAAAAGGTTCCTCTTGGAGCATATATGAGGGCATGTTAAAATTCTTCAGCACTCTGAAGGTAATATTTTTAAGTTTGAGGTGAGTGGGAAGAGACCTATGTGGGACAGAGCATTTTAGGTATTCCAGGTGCATGCGAGTCACAAGATGAATGTTGACAGAAATGTGGGAAAAGGTGGAGCCATAACTAATTCTAAGTTTTGAATCTGAAAGAAGACAAATACTGGCTGATGAGACTGTATTTTCTCAGAGCAATTCAGTCAGAGTAGTACACTGGTTCAAATCATGCAGAGGAACAAGCAATGAGCTGGGAAGACAAGAAAAGATGGTCTGGCTGGGCAGCTCCTTAATTTAACAGTCCTTAATACAGAAGGACCTATTCAGTGTAGGTATGCTCAACAATACTATCCACGGTACTCCCTAGAGTTCCCTTTCACTCTCTCTTAATAAAAATGTTGGTGTTTGCAAGGATGACTTCCCTGTTTATTGAAGTGTAAATATGTTTCATCCATGTACAAGATGGCAAGAATGCAATGAGTGGTTAATAGCACTGAAGAGATTTAAAAACATGAAGATGAGACATGATCTGGTTTACATTATCTTGGAAAGTTTATACACATTGGTGACGCTGCTAAATAATTTTTGGAAGAAGATAAAACAGTGTTTAAAGAAGAAATCTCAAAAAGAGGCAGAAACTTAATATGTTCAATGAAAACTCAATTTTACATGGAAAATCTTTTCCTGACGCTGAAAGAAGTACATGTTCTTTCTGCAGGAATTTGATGTCATGGCTTTGTACTAACTGTGAAAAGAAAGAAATCCTTACAATACAACTAGGGAATAATATGCTATGACCTCTTTATTTTTCTGCTATTATTCATAACTATCTTGAAGATTTTTGAGGTCTCTGCAAACTCTTTACACATACAAACTGAGTACAGTCTGCTGAGAGCTACACTGAATTCACTGTGGCTTTGCACAGGGACAGTTTCTCTCTATTAAAAAAAAGTGCAAAATCGGGAGAGGGTCTAGAACAGAAGATCATTCTTTCCTCTTCCGTCCTCCCTGGCCATGAACAATTTGTTCACCTCTTCAGTGCAGCTGATTTGAAGACTGTTATCATTTCTCCCCTCAGTTTTCTTTTCTGTAGACTAAACAACCCCAATTCCTTCAATCTTTCCACATGGGTCAAATATTAGAGCAGGCGTCATCTGTCTGTGTAGTTTTTAGTTGAAATATTACCTTTATCCATAAATGTGAATAGAAGTTACAAATAAGCACATTTTGTCATTTCTTTTATTTTCTTTTTTAAATTGATCAACTGACGTGAGGCTGTTGTGACAAAAATTACATAGCCCATTAAAAGAATAGGTTCAAACTATATTGTGTTTGTAATATGGTGCACAGGACATTTTCAATTTTAGAGCTAGCAGACATGCATTATTTTGGTACTTGTTGTCTTCTGAGCTAATCAGGCCTTGAAAAGAATAATTCGCTACTGTTTGACAGTCCTCAGTTTAAGTAATAGTATTCGTAATGAGGTGTTTCATTGCTTCTGATGGGCTCTTTACAATTTAAAATGGGTACAGAAGAGAGATATATTAAGCGTATAGCATCTGACAGATTTTGATTTCTAGTAGTACCAGCATTGGCAGTAATTCTAGCACTTCCTTTCAGCGCTATGGCATTTTAGTGAGCTATGATTTATTGTAGTGATATAGAAATATTTCATATCCAAACTGCTCTAGTATATCATGTTATACAGGTAAAAAGAATTCTGGGCATGACATGCGTAATAATAATGCTTTATGGTTCTATAGGCACTTTCATCAACGTTAACTGCTTGACAGCTGTCAGGATAACACTTGGAGTAAGCACTGTATTCTGTAAGGCTGCTGTAACTGAGCTTTTATTTTTATTTCCTCACTTTGAAATGGGTTTTTGATTCTCAAACCTGAATCACTGAAAGTGTGTCATCTTTCCCAGGTTTGATCTTTGTCCATATTGTTTCACAATGCCATGGTATTACTTGTCTTGGGTTTTTAATGTAGCTCTGGCAGAGTAACTCTCATGTTTAAAGCCAAACTTTAATCCCATAAAGACTAAGGAATGACACCACTTCATCTTATACATTGCCTGAATTATAAAATGGTTAAAAGCTATAAAATACCAGGGCCATTGTGACTGCATATAATTCTAAGAGACCACAGTTAAAAAAAAAACAACTTAAGGCCCACAAATTGTAAGTCACTATATATGGCTTTCATGAATAATGAAGAAAGAGGTTTATGGGGAGTTTTGTTTGTGTTTTTTTGTCTTTTCCTTTATGTGACTTCAGAAGGATGGAGTGTATCATATGTGCTGTCTCTTCTATTAAATCACTTGTACAATGGCTTATCCTACTCCTGTCATCTGGTGCACTTATGCAAAATAAATGTGTCCTATGCTCCGGATAAGTGTCTTCCTTTTGCTGAATAGTTTTTAAGCTTTTTAAATTTTGTATCCAAACACAATTTGAAGTGTCACCCTTTCCACTCTAATGGTCAAAGCATTTATTTAGGTGATACCAGCAACGTGTTTTCAAAATAGTCCAGCTGGAGCCAGAACCATTTTTGCTTTGAGCACATTTGTTTACAGGATATCAGAGCTATCTGTAATTGCACATCTCTCTGCAGTGAGCATTTAGCACATAGTCATTCATTTCAATTCTGGTTTTCATAACGTCTGCAGTTGCATAAGATTCCTTAGGGGAAAAGAAAAAAACTAGCAGTAAAGCCTAGCTGTAAGGAAGCGTACAGTCAGATTTCTTCGTTTTCAAGGCAAAAAAAAGCTAAAACTTGGCTGAAAAAGCTAAAAATTCATAGCATCTTAAAATTATGTGTTTT